TAAATAATTATTAAAAAAATTAAATATTATGGTCGGCGTTCTATTCAAATTAAATAATGGATATATATTGTCATCAGCGAATGCGAAACAGTTTTCGAATTGGTTTTTATTCGCTGCTATATACACACCTCTTGCGTAACACGGGTTGTCAAAACAGAATAAAATTGGTTACAGAGCTTGTTTCATGATAGCTGTATGTTTTCAATTATCTCTATTTATGCTAGTATCTTCTATATTGAATCTAGATTCCAAAAATAGGCAGAATTAGCTAACTACGGGAAACAAGTAATTTATGTATCGATGTATGAAGTTTTGAGAAACTGTACAAGATATACCTACTTCTGTATTAAATGGAGGTGTTTTTCGATATTGCTTTTTCTCAATTTTCAATCTAGCAACGGCAAAACGACCCAAAGGAATCGACGTGAAAGAACGGGTACTCTTTGCCGTCGACGTCACGTTAACGTCCACGCTGGCCACATTGTCAAACCTGAACGCTGCGGTAGGCATCGCCATCCTCGACGTATGGCGCCGTTTTCCCACCGTGATTGATTAAGCTGTCTTAGATTACTATAAGGAAGCGGCAAGAAAACATTGCACTGAAACAAGCTCCAGTCTATAAATATAGCTAGATATGTGGTAATGGATATATAGGCACTATATCTATGAATACGCATAGATAAAAAAAACCAAACGGCAGGCGAATGTTTTATAGCTCCTGTAAAATGGGATAGATTTCGTTGTCGTCCCTTTCGGATCTCGTGGTAGCGCCACATACGTTTTTTACGGCACTAAATGAGCGTAAATGTCACTATACGTGCGTCAATTCGTTTTATTGAACACGTACAAATTGGGAAACACAAACATGATAAGTAAGAGATTTGGACACTAGATACTTTATCACTGCATAATTTTTAATAAGAACTAAGTTGTGTCATTTTCCTCTGTAGAGAATTTCAATTTCATTAGTCGACGTTGTGCGTGCTGTATTTATTTCGGAACTCTTGTTCTATGAACAGATCGTGTTTATAGCGTGGCTAATGAACTGGACATTAACAGTAATTAAAGAACGAAACTGCTATGTAAGAGGCATCTAAAATCATATGGAACCTTTAACATTATTGTGAGTTGGACGCATCGTAATCGCTCGAAAAAATTGCAAGAATTGTTTTTAAAAACAAAAAATACGGGAAATCTATTTGAACCAGTTCGATTTACTGAGCGCTGTTTGTCGACGGCCATTATGATAGTAGAAAATATTGCATGTTTAACCTAATCAGACGGAAAAGACCATACCAAATGTAAGTAAGATAGCAATGAAGTTAATTGCAATAGCTGGCCGACAATGGCAAGATGGACCGCAATATATTTGTATAGAAAAATAGTTGTAAATGGGTACTTGTAAATGCGTATAAATTATCGTCATAAACTGCTGACAGCTGCGTGTAAACTAAATAGAAACAGCGCATACCTATGTAACTATATTATATAATATACGACCAAGGAAGCATATACTAAAGCAACAAATTGTAGGAAATATAATAATAGGCTGTTTAAATATGTAATTGTAATAGGTCGATAAGAGGCAACGAAAGTTCATTACAGCAGTCAAAGTTCATGATACGGTCGCCCCTTGCCCCTAAAGTTCGCTTTGCCAGTTAGGTCAATAATTTTTTTTCGCATAATTACTCCAAGTCATTCAGCAGTTTCTGTTTCAGTATAACAATAATGTATATATATATATATAAAGTGATTGTATTACTATGAACGAAGTGAATATATTATCTGAATTAATGTAACCCGAGGGGTATCAATACACGGTATTGCGTAAGATGCTCCTGCATTAGCCGATGGTATGTCTGCGTTCACGATTTCTAGTTTTCAATTGCATGCACAGATGTGCACGCGCCAGATAGTACCACATCCCGAGGTAAGCGGTATGTTTCGCACGCAGTTTCTGATGTTTAGTCTATGCAGAAATCTTCTGTCGCTCTTTTACGGGTCGATTAGTTCTAGAATGATTGGAAAGTCAGTTTATCTGAAACGTCGGCCTGAACTATTGTTGGTTGCACTATGTCAGCTTTGTGATTTGCCGGAAAGTTTGCTTCGGCTTAATTGGCGATGTTAGAGTTAATTTTTGTATAAATTAAAATCGACTGCGGCGTGGAAGTGGTTATCTGGCAGTCGATTTCCGATGAGATCAGAGAGAAGAACGTCTAACCACGCTACGGCGCTTCCGATGAAACAACGTTTATCCGAAAAGCATCGGAGTTCAACAGGATGTTTTTATGGGCAGTCTTGCAAACCTTTTGTTCGGCTAATTAATCTTCTTGCATAGAAGTTAGCTTATTGCGACAACCAGAGTTGTGTAATCATTCCGAAATCACATTGTTCTGTGGGTTTCTTGCACAAGATTGCAACAGCTGTACACAGAAGCTAGGAGTGCCGGCGGATTAAAATCAATGGCTGTATAGAAATCCATATTAGCCAGATTGAGCCGTAAGCTTGTTGCTAGTTCTTATCTAGTGCCAAATCCTATAGATATTTTCGCAAAACTTTGTTAGACTCTACTTTTACGTGCAGCGTTTCGAAAGGCGGAAAAAACTGATCTTTTGCACCTCCATTGCATACTGTAACAGGTGCTTGTTAGGGCTGAATACTGACGGAGCCTAGGGAGCTGTACTTTTCTCCGTCTAAATTAAAACCTTCTGGAATTTCTGATCCATAGCCTTGTAACATATCTAGTAGCATCTTGAAGATGTTGAACAATATACCAACTTCCTTCGGCATCGTATCCGTGCGAAGAGAGTGCGCATTCGAAGCTGTGCTCTACTTGCAAACCCAAAAAAGTCGCGCAAATCTTGCAGGGTATTTAGATCAATATCCGAGTTTATTATTTCTGGAAAATTCATATAGGACAAATCCCGTATGATCGTCTGGTTTCTAATGATCATTTCATTGATCTTTATCACATTTCAGTCCTTACGTGTATTAGCCAGTAGACTTGTACTTAGCAACGGGCGGCTGCATTTGGCGGCATTCGTGGGGGCGTTTTAGAAGACATAGAGACTTGAGCATTTGTTACGGAAAAGCCTCTCACGTATTGAAAACGTGAGAGCGTCGCGAAGGATCTGAAACCATGGCTATTCCTGCTAAGCTGAAAAAGCTTTTCCCTCTAAGATCCGTTGATGATCTCGTCAATATTTTCAGGTAGGTACAAATTTTTATTATGACAGCGGCTATAAATAGTGCTTTGTAAATAAAAAAAAAAATAGAATAAGATTATTCTGGCATCTTTATGCACATTTGTTATTCATGACTATAACTACACGATCCGCCTTAAGAAATGAAACGTCCCGGTTATCTCGTCCGCGATGAGAAGACTAATTGCAATGAGCTTCCCTGTCATATAAAAACCTTCTTCGAACAGTTCATTTGGTTAGTAAGACTAGTAAGAGCACAATTAAAATTTGAGAGGTATTGGTGAAAATTTAAAGGTTTATCTAAAACTGTTACATGTTGATCCTTACCTGCAGATGTATGCTGGACGGACCATCCGCTCCAGATTTAACCCTGACCTCGATTATTCTCGGCTATCTTGAAAATGTTTTGTGCGCAAAACCTCCGAGTGAGAATGCTGTCTCGGATAGCGAATCACAAAGCTCGGCGCAAGAAGATTTCCCCATTGTAAGTATTACAGAGTTTAGTACCAAATAGTGATTCTAATGTTAATTATTCCCATAACAGGACGTACGACAAGTTTGACATCGGTGATTAAGCAATAGTTTTTATTATTCATTGACTGAGGACATCGCCTAAGTCTTTCGACTTCGTTAATACGTCTCGAGCGGTGAGTGAACTAACAAAAAGCGTTCTATGACCCTTGCCTAGACGGGGGTCTGTACAATTTTTTGACAACCAATGAGCCGTATCTTAACCGTTGCTTTTGTCGCAGGTGAACCTGGAGGAGGTCAGTGCATTGTATTCGCAGTTCTCAACGATGATTCGTGGATCGGTCGACCTTTCGGTGCAGGAAACAGGACCTCAACGAAGGTTAACACGTCCTCTGGTCAAAAAGATCTCAGACGTGATTTGGGATACTCTACATCGATCATACGGACAAGATCGGCCGCACCTTCAAAGCATCTTTAGCTATCTCACCGGTATAACTCAATGATGACCTTCCTAAACAAATTTCTTTGGCATTTACGTATTTGAATGTTGACGATCGATGTTGCGAGGATGACGTTATGGACGTTATATTTGGTGCGCATCTGAAGAGTCTTTAAATCACGTAGCAGGTATGGGAACAATTGACATGATCATAATTCCTATAAACAATGCGTGTGCATTTTTCGTTTCCATTCCAGCCAACAAGTTGGATTGTTTTGGCCTGGCGTATACGACAGTTGCCGCCTGTCAAGTACTAAACGTTAGCGACGTACGACTCTGTCTCAGCGAGGATCATGCCTGGATAATGTACGTTGATGCTGTAACGGGTCGAGAAGAAACCGCGGAGGTCACTTGGCATGGTAAGACACCCAAGCAAGACATAGTCTAGCTCACGGACACTTCATTCTGTCTACTAACAGTTCAATTCTATTAAGTCTTATACAAACAACGACACGACAGGAATCAGAAGACAATTTCCGCATATAATTACTTTGAGATTGAATTTGATCATCTTTTAGGTAAGGTTGAGGATAGAAGAGGTCTACCCATTTCGCTGGGGGAGCGTTCGTGGTTGTACCTAAACGGACACGCCATTGAGTGCACTCGCTACACGGAAGTCGCGGCTGCGATACTGGCTATGAATCCGTATGCATCATCTACGGCAGACTCTGAGCTACTCATACAAATGCAAAAGGTGAAAACTGCTAGATTATCCAATAGTCGAGTGTCTCGGTTGCTCGGTCGGCAAAAGATACACAGCATCAGTACACTGCACTCTATGGAACATTTTGATTAATCTGTTTTGCTTTATTGTCATCTATGAGCTGTTAAAAATCTGAATGTTACTTGTTGTATCTGCGTTTTTCACAGAAACTTCTTTGGCTCATGTACGACGGAAGTCATCTGCGTGGTTATCCGATGGCATTGGGTATCTTAGGCGAGTTGGAATCCATGCAGGATTCACCAGAAGCCGAACACACCGCACTGGAGCTTTTCCAGGAAGCCGTGGAAATCGGTTAGTGAATCGCTCGTAGAGTACTACCAGCATAGCCACACATGCTCCCGTAACTGCATAGCATTACTGCGGAACTGTTTTTAAAGGTCGCAATAGTTACACATTCTTGTATCTGTCTATAATTAAAAAAAAAAATACTAAATACAGATGTCGTGAAAATCATCTGTTACTGTTACTGTTATGTTTGTCCTGTTTTCTTGTAACAAATATTTAGGTCGTACGGTATACGCAAATCACCATGTCTACCCATATACGTATTTGGGTAGTTTTATGTTTCGTTGTCAGCGGTTTGCTGATGCATTACACTGCTACGCAAGTGCGGCTCAGGTAATCCGAAATTTCAACTATGGCCGTGAAGATGAAGAGATCTACAAAGAGTTCATGGAAGTTAACAATGAGATCGTCCCCCAACTCATCAAATACGATGGTTAGTTGTCAGCGCTTAGTATTCCTCTAGTACACGACGTGTTTGTTCCTGTGACAACATTATACTGCGTAGGTTGAACTACATATTGTGGGAGATATTCACACGTATCTCTCTATGGCCATTTGTTTAATTGTGGTCTACAATTAACGAACAGGGTCGTTATTACGTTAATCGAAGGTCAACGCTACGAGACCTTGATTTTACATTTAACAGGATTTATTTATCCCATACAGAGTACTTCATCAGCTAACGGGAACGCTACCTAGTAATTTGTGGGAAAGATTGGGGTATCTAATCGCTGAATGCCACTGTTAAATGTATTCATTTGCGCACGTTTGTTCAGGCATCGTCGAGGACGCAACGTGTTTCGCTCAGTTGTTGCGATTGTGGGACGGACTGTGTGGCTGGGAAGAAGGTTCGAGCACACCAGTCCTCCATATCGGATGGGCAAAGCCGTTTGTTTCCGTCCTGAATAAGTTCCCTGCGTCGACCCGAAAAGCTGTCCATATAGTTAGTTTAGGCGATCCCGCGGACAGTTCTAGAAATAATAACAATGGTAGGTTTTTTATTCACTCAATCATATGACGTAAGATCGATATTTCAAGTCGCAATTTTAGTTTTAATTGTATTGTTTGCATATTAACGAACGATATATTCGTGTGCTGTAACTTTTGTGCTTTTAGAGATCAAATCGGAAAATGACCTGCAGCCCTCACCATCGTCTGGAGGTGAAGACAGAAGTGAAACCCCGACACGAAGGGGCAGTCAAAGTCGAAAGAGTCGAAATCAAGCCCAACATCTACATGATCGAAACGCTGAAGAGTCGACGAGCGGACAGCCGGTGCCTGGACCAGCTGACAGAGATGCAAAGGTAACAATTTTTGTTAGACTTCTATTTTTTCTTGTTACAGGGTTTAGCTGCTTTCTTGACTAACATTTTAGTGGCCAATTTTTCCGCTTTATTTAGTTTTTATTGTTATTGGTTTTTCGACGCGGGATGTGGCGCTTATGCTGGAAAAGAACCTAACCGACTGGCAAGATATGTAACACTTCTGTCATTATTTACCGCAAGCAGGAGGGCGAAGCATCCCAGGATATGAACGATAATGACATTAAAAAGGAATTTCGACGGGAGGAAAGCCCTGGCCTGTCGAAGGTCTCTGATGAGGAACGAGCATTTAGAGAAGAGCATGAAAAAAAACAGGACACAGTCGTATTCAGCAGTCAGGTCAGTATCTGTTTTTTGTCTGTCTGTGTCAAAATATTATGGACCTGACAAAGTCATGAACATATCTTGGTATGAGCTTCCAATGTATCACTGGACGTGTCTTGTCGTCTTTAAAGCAAAATTATTTTTTCAATTTTGGCTAATCTATTTTTATTTAACTCCACAGAAAATGATCGGTCTTCGGCATTTACTTCTGGCAGATAAACTCAACATTTCCGCCATTCAGCTACAGCTGACCGCGCAGAGTCATTTGGCCGGCAAGCACAAACTTGATGATGACAGTCGACGCAAACGTGTTCGCCGAGAATAGACACATATATATATACTACGTATGACATCATATGGAATTAGACACTCGCATATTCTCGGGGTTTATCAGTAATCCGTGTTTTGACAACGCTGCAGTTTAGCGGTTCTCATCTAGTAGCAGTAATGGTAGTGGTAGTACTATACAATGCCGATACGCAAACGCTGCAAGAGGTTCTCGCGCGGCCAACATTGAGGCATGGATCCCCATTTTCCAAGTTTTCGTTCGTTACCGCTTATCTCAGTCGCAGCAAAAGCAGTAACACGGTGACAGAACTGCATGCAGATGGAGTGCCATTGTTCACCATGGCAAAGTCAAGCAGTAAAAACGTGACTTATTGAAATATACAATGAGGATTTTGTGACCCGACCCGGACAGACACCAGATTTGTACATGAAAACCACGCATTACTATTATATATAATTCGTGACGATGATGATTGTGGAAAACGATAACGCTAGTAATTATGATTACCGTAATTTTTTTTTATTTCAATATCACGATAATGACCTTTCGGTTTCATGCATCTTGTGAGTGTGGCCGGATGTCCCTGGCAATGGATACGTACATTTCTCACTGCGAGTATGGGTGTGTATGCGTAAGGCTGGGTTGAAGCAACTTTCTAAACTCGAAAAAAAAAAGCAAACAAAAACGAACATTAAAATAATATGGATGAACTAATTAGTAGCTTACTCTACGAGCGACTTCTGTTTCGAGGCAACCGCACATACTTCAACGGAAAAAAGTGAAGAACAGGGAAAGGCAGAAGGAAACAAGCAACGTTAGAGCACCATATTTAGCGAAGGCCCTTTTGACGTAGCGTCATAATCTCCGTCGACTGGAGAGTGAGAAAGAAAGCAAGTGCGGGCGAAAATGAGGCAGTTTTCGCTGAAACTGAGCAAAAGACAAACAGAGCGGAGAAAAGGGGGATGAAGACGGCCTCGGTCACCGATACACCCAAAGCGATTCGAGAAAGGCTTTGGAGGCCAGAGATAGCGTGTAGGATGATACAAAGATCTCTTTGTCACTATTTCAAGTCGTTCTAGACAACAGTAGAAGCTAGAGACATAACCATGTTTTATGTATTTTATCTTTTTTTCCTTATCCTACAGATAGCCATAGCAGTAAATGAGAAAGCACATCGCCGTCACTAACACCTCAATATGTGATAAGTGATTGAAAGTACGTACGACAACAAATTAATAATAGTAACGGCACTCCATATAAGTTTGTTCCAATCTTTTCATACATATACACACACAACCGATCACCCACACAAATGCACTAAAGTTGTAAATTCGTGGGCCCTCCCTATTTCATTGTATACTGTAGAAACGACATTGATAAAGTGTGAACGCGAAGAAGCTTATATGTGTGTGTCTTTGTGTGATTGTGCGTGTGCGTGCGTGCGTGCGTGTGTGTGGGTCTGAGTGTGTGACCTATGATGGGACGAAGCCCTGAAAAGGAAGCAAGCAAAAAAGAGAAAAGTATTTTAAATTTGTTCATTAAAAATTCGCCTTTATTGCTGTGCGATAGCTACGCTGTAGTCGCATAAGGCGACGAGACCCCCGAATTACTAAGGTAAAGGGCAGGCCAGAGTATGATTAGGTGGTGTGAAACAACACAACAACATGAGTGCCAGGATTTTCATAAAATTGAAAAAACGAATTAACGGCATATGAATGCCCCGACGTGTCGCAGCAGCAACTCAAGAATTGCGCAGGATTTCTGTTACGCACATAGATAGAAACTAATGTTTTTATGTACACGTACATTGAGCACGTGTGACTTGGTATGGGGACACCGAAGCCACCAAATGAGCCACAGAAAGAAACAGCATATATACAATTACGTTATGAATGAGTAAGAGAAACTTCAGAGCTATGATTCGTCGTATGTAGTCTCTACAATAACTTTCAGTAATATCCTGATCAGAAACAATCTTTCTTTGCCTGTGATCACATTCTGATAGTGTATCTTTAATGCAGTCATTGCTGTTACGTGTCTTTGATCTGAGCGGATCTATCAAAACAAACCGTTCTCCATGTTACATAGATTTAAAAGAAACGTCTAAACTAACAAGGCATCATTTGATTAATCGCCTCAGTGAACGACGACACCCTGTTTTTTTTTTTACTTCACTGCATTTGTTCCGATCACGGTCAAGAAGAACAGCTTTTTTTTCAGCGATTCCGTAGTGCGCAAGCGTGTTCATTTTTATTTTAAAACTACGTTGTGTCAAACAAGCTAATGAGCAACTGTTTTTTTTGTCATTCACTTATTATTGGGAGACGTGAGAAAAGAATAGCTATTGTTTACAATGCAAATGCATCTTTGGGTTCCTCTACGAACACAAGTAAGTTACTTCCTACAGTTTTTTCATTTTCGAACTTTGTTACCGTGCCTGTTCAACTCTGTGTTACAATACAAACACGCATATAGGTATAAAAGCGATAACTAACTCGCTAAATTGAAGGAGTAGCCACGGCGTGCTTTGCTTATTTAAAAAAATGTCCAATTAGAAAACGTTATTTGAGCTCGCAGATATTTTGTAGTATGTGAAAACCTCATATGACTCTCCTAGGTTTTACTGCCACCTTCGATTTTTTCCGAAATTTGAACCAATATCAAATAATATGCACCTTCAGTATGTGGCGTTGAACATCGACGGTAATGAACAAGGAACTAAGGTGTTTCTACTAATGGTGATATGTTTCTTGCAAAAACCTTATAATGCGTTATCTCTAACACATTATTATAAGTGAGGTTTTTTCTAAACTATGTAGAGGGGTATAAACGTATTTTCGTGAATATCTTCTATTTTTAGATTGTCCCGTGAACGTGTAAAATTAATTTCGAAGAATACATACTCGAGGAAAATCAGTGACCTCATAATGCTTGACCTTAGTAGATTCGTATTTATTGACACAAATAGAATGACTTATACCATCACTAGACAATTTCTCTTGGTGAAAAACTCTGTGCTAAAAAATGCTGCGGGCAGATTGCATGCGTCTAGCTTATTACATTTAAGCTGTTATATGTATGTACGTATGTATGTACGTATGTATGTATGTATGTATGCATGCGTGGATGGATGGATGTTTGCTATACTGTAGAGCGGGTATAGGACACGGATGCAGAGCATACCTATGAACCCGTAGTTGGTATTCATTCTTCACTAATATATATATATATATTTCATAATGTGTTTGCTATTTTGTTTCTTGAATGGTCTCAATAGTATGTATTTTTCGTGAATACGGTTCGTTAATCATTTAGCAGTGTATTTGATTTTTATCAAAAACTAGTAGGTATAACAGATGGAGAATCGAACGATGGAGGGCGAACATTACATTACACATCTGGGAAAATCATTCCGACAGATTATCTAATAAAGAAACAAAAAACACGAGTTCAAATAAGCGAAATTCTTCTACGCAAAGTCTAACCTACCTGTTCAGATTCGTTTTGATGATAGTGTAATTTAGGGGTAATGTGAAGAACTTCGTCTATTTTGCTAGGAGAGGAAAAAGGGAATCAAATACGTACGGTATGTAGCAAGAGTGAGAAGGAAAGAGGAGATGAAAATCGTGCAGATCCTATCAGCATGCGGCTAAGCCAAGAAATGTCAGTAACGACAGCACCAACAATTTAATATAATCACCACAAACCTAAGCCTACTTTAGACAAACCGACGCGAGGTGGTTACTTTTTCGAAGCTGATTGATACAATCTTTATATTCCGACCTAATTCCAAAGATTTCCTTATACATAAAATACCATTTTAAATGTCTCTTTAACCGCAGCGAAACTGAGCACCAAGACTGATGAAGTGTTGTAAGGCTATTCATATATATATATATATATATATATATATATATATATATACTACACTATTCATATGCATAAAGATGTAGAGTGAACTAGAGAGAAGTCTATCCTATTATAAAACTCACAAATATGTGCGTTGTATGCCACGGGTGTTCCTCTTGAACTATAAGGAAGAAAACGATTTTGAAACGTGAACAGCGCCACCATGAAAAAGAATATTTAATAAGCAAACAGGGAGCGAAGAAAGTATAACCACGACAACATCAGTGACAAACAAAGGAAACAAACTAGTTTTGGATGAGCTAATTTCGAATTGTATTGATTGTACTGTTAGCCTGTAAATTTGTGAGCCCGGTATAGTTTTTCGTCGACTGCTGCGGCGGGTATGGCCAAATACAGCCATATAAAACTTCGGCGAGAGGAATGATGGCACAGAGAGATAAAACCGATGATAATTCTTTCCGAAATCCGAAAATTATATGAGAACTAGATGAAGACAACGATTGCTGGCACGAAGCACAGTTGTTAACGTTAACCTTAACTAAGTAATTTCTATCTGTAATCAACGTAAGTAACGAAAACCCTCTCATAACCGAATCTTTCAAGATATATGCAAGCAAATCATCCCAAAACTTCACAAGTTTAATTGAATAATATATCCGCGTGAAGCAAAACAACAAACAGTAACTTCAACTATCGCGTGTATAACAACCTACTGTAATAGAGAAACAACAGCAACTGACGTCGGCATTTGTCTACAAGCAAGTCAAGGATTCGCTGATAAAAGCTTCTGGTTGACGAGACATGAAATAAATGGACAGATCAGAGCACCACTTATTTTGTATTGGTGTATGGCGATGATGGTGATAATCGTAATGGAGATGGTGACAAAAAAAACGCTGTATGAAAGTGACGTCGCGCAGAAGATTGGGGCAAAGAAAGGCAGGAATAACAGTCGATAGGTATACAGATCTAAACGTAAGGGATAGTCTAACTGTGATAGAAGACGTTGACGTGTTATGTCTGATTCGTCCTTCATATGCATACAAGATGGATGACGTGGGATGACATTGATGCCGAATGGATTTACTAATAGTAATCATAACGGAAATAATAACTATAGAACAAACCGCCTACTAAAGATGATAGACACGATAAAGTCGAATGGTTGAAAATAAGTGGCCAGACGACACATGACCCCCCGAAAGAGACAGTGAAAAAATGGGCATAGGTCGGCGAAAACAAGAACGGTAGTAAAAAGAACTACATGAACGATAACGTACGTTACGCAAAAACACTACTAATAACAATAATAGTGAAGAGAGTGTAGTTTTGTCAGTTTGGTGAACGCTGATGAGATTATAACGCACATACACGAGTGATTGACGGTAGATCCAAGTCGATGTCGGCGACTAAGCCGATAATAATGGCGACGAAGATGACGATAAAACGAATGACGCTAAATAACCTTATTCAATTTCGGATTAGATAAGAATTTCACCATTAATTATCATAATGCTGGTAATCATAATACGGCCTTTTGTAAGAACAAAGACAACAGCAGCAGCGGCAGCAGCAGCAGTCGCAACGGCAACGACTTTCATAACGACACGCTGGGCCACACAAGACTTTGAATATATTGAATGGAGGTTGCGTTTCATTAGTCCAGTGCAGCCGACCCAAATAAGTCAATTACGAGGATTAAAGCTCGTTGCTGTTGTTGTTGTCGTCGTCAGGCCATGTATGCTACGTATTGGGAATGTCTTATCGTAGCACGTACCGATTCACTTGACACGTTCAAGACGTATGAGCTCCATAGCTCAGCGGAAGTGTTTGGAAAGAAATGTTCGATATTTTCACTAGTTTTTTATTGCCATATCATTCGTAACTTTATGGCTCCTGAGTTCCTGCTTGGATTCTTACTAGTCGTCTAATTATTATTACTAGGTGATCCTTGAAGCAAACGAAAGCATTTTCTATCCAATGGCGATTTTTTTTCGGTAACAGCAGTTGTCACTTTTCTGTATTTAGTTAGAAACAAAAGAATCGGCAAACTATTCGCCCGCCATTCATATATCATAACCCGGGCTTCGTACATTGTGTTTACTGAGCAGATCAGCGCCACCTAATGGGCAATTTAGTGAGCATTGTGTTGATTTTCATGGATTCTCTTTCAGCACTTCCGCAAATCATCGAAACCTTGAATACCAAATAGGGAGTATACGAGCGAATGAACCACACTGTTTGTTGCCCTTTGTCGCCCCCTTTTCTTCTGGGGTTACAGCTGCGCGTTTGCGTCGCTGAACCTTGTATGGAATGTACACACAACACTGACAAACATTATTAGAACGTAACACATTAGTTGCTTGTACTACGGTGGAGGTGGTTCTAATACTACTGTGGTTGATTAACATTATCAATATTATTAGGACTGTATGCATGAGTAAGGTACCACTTATAAGCTACATATACATGTAATTGATCAACGAAGATCGCGAACATAAACATAAGGTCAGCTGTGGTGCGGAGGTTAGCTATATAGATAAACATCAACCCTCTAGGTAGGATTCTACATATATATATATATATACACTCCATTTCCCCCTTATACTAGGTGTTGCAGTGTGTTCTTGTACATAGAGTGTATAATAATATAAACCACCAGCTCTGATGAGACGGAAAATGAATTACAACAAGGAACTATATGAAGAAGGCTCCATCAAAAATGGCGACAACAACTTCGATTGAACTCGAGCGTGCGTCAGAACAGAACCCTAAAGGGATGATTTGAAGGAGCCGTTTGAGATGCGATTATATTCTAAATATTAATTATACAAATGCGATAATAAGAATAATTACTATAAAATAAACATATTGCAAACATAAAGAAACTGAAGCTGCGAAGAAATAAATAGGGTACCATTGTCGATCAAGATTCTTCGTGTTTTCCTCTCGTAAGTTAATTTCAATCAATGAACATATGGGTAGTAGAAGTAGCCGATACACACGTATATTATATGTGTACTTTTTATTTTTATTTTATATATATATATATATACGCTGAGGTTCAGAGAAGGTGTGTTAGGTGTACTACCTTTAATATGTGAGGTGATGAACAATTAACAAACAAAGAATCTATTAATGGAGACTCTTACTTCCCCAAATCGAATTTTTTTTCTACTACTAATTATTTATTAATTGTTTTAAACAAATAAAATTAATTAGTTAATATGAAATTAATAATCCCGATTTTTCTAGTGATAACAGGTTTTTTAAATTGCTGAATTCTTCAGCGTTGAATGTATTTAATAGTAAGTTCATAAATGTCGTGTGGAAATGACACCACGACATCTCGGCCAAGCACTTCACCACAGAGCTGGAAGAGCCATCGCCATCGCCATCGCCATCGCAAACAGACACCTTGATCGGCAAAGGAAATAAAGGAACAATTAGTGTGTGCGGAGATTTGGCAAATGAGTTTTTAACTGAATGGGATGGAAATTTGTGGGAAGGAGTCTGTGAGGGTTCCCCCACATGGTTTCAGTACAATAACAAATTTGTGTTGGAGAGAGAGAGAGAGAGAGTTACCAGCTGAATTCGCCGAATCGGTAGACGCAAGAGTTATCAGCGGCTTTTTCAAGGAATATCGGAGCTCTGTTCTGGCACGGTCTCAGTAGAGGATAGAAATATAGTTGCTGATGAGGTCTCAAGGATCGGTGGCATTGACGAAGGCGTCACTATCGTAGAATACTCAATGGTTGACAAAATGTATGGCTCTACGATGGTAGAATCGTTCAACGAAATATTCGTAGAGATAGGCTGCTTTCTGGTGCTAGAATCGGTCAACGAAGTTGCTGTAGAGTCGGGCTGCTTCCTGGTGCTAGAATCGGTCAACGAAGTCGTTGTAGAGTCGGGCTGCTTCCTGGTGCTAGAATCGGTCACCGAGGTCGTTGTAGAGTCGGGCTGCTTCCTGGTGCTAGACTCGGTCACCGAGGTCGTTGTAGAGTCGGGCTGCTTCCTGGTGCTAGACTCGGTCACCGAGGTCGTTGTAGAGTCGGGCTGCTTCCTGGTGCTAGACTCGGTCACCGAGGTCGTTGTAGAGTCGGGCCCCGCCGTTTCATTTGCCACTGACGCATTATATGTCGCCGAACGGGATGCAGTCGTTACGCTTATGCTATTAGTAATCGATGGCGGTGACGCTGGCGTTGGTTCAGTTGATACGGTGGAGACGATCGCCGGCACTGATGCATGAGTACCAACGGTTGACATCGAAACGGATGTTCCTGGTGAAAGATCTTGCACAGAGTCCACTCCGGCAGAACGGTCATCCGCAGGCTTTGTTGTCGCGGGCACGGGGACGTCGGCAATCAGGTTAGTAGATCCCTGAGGCTCAACCGAACTGCTGTCGAACTTCTGGATGTGTACGTAAGAAACGTAAGGTAAAAATGGGGTACGGGAAAGCAAGTAAGATGTAACCGAGCTGCTATAAGGCCACTCTCCATACGGGCTGTTATGGAGAATTCTGCCATACGAAGGAATAATAATAATACATAAGTAGTAATGAGTGGGCTGACAATTAGGGACATTAAGCCAGGCGAACTTACAGGTAGTAAGCTTCCCAAGAATTGCAAGCTTTTAGATAACACTGATGGTGGGTATAGCAAAGTCTTCTTTACACTTTCTCTCCCACTCTCATTAGCGACCAAGCGTGAGCGCGGTGGAGTTGCAATATGTGAAATTAGTGGGAAAGCTGCTCCTAAACCAACAAGTGTCAGCAATAGCACGAACCGCATAGGAAAGAAACCGGTCAGATCCATGGCTAAAAATCGGAACCAAAAACGAGAAAAATATATTTTCGTTACGCATATGCTGGTCTCGATTTTTTAAACAGAACACGAACTGTGACGAAATCACATTTCACACACAAAATGTAGATTCATCGGCTTCGGTATAAATCAATGCTTATAGTATCGTAAACAACAAATATGATATCTACTTGTGTGCTTATTATTATTACTATTAAACACTGTTAAAACAAATCTGTATTAACAGTTGAGGTACGTGTGCAACTACCGGCCTATGAATTACGATTTGAATGCCGTCCCCATCTTGTTCTCTGATGACACGAGTACATCAATCTATAGTCAACGTTACGTTCATTTCTTCATAGAGTGACCTCTACGGTCGAACGCCTGTGACTGCTTCTGACTGTCTAGAACACAGTAAGTGAAAAACTTAAACATACGTATGAAAACGTTAGATATACCTCCTACGTCGTGCAACGGCAGTCCGGAACGTGACGTTGACGTGTATAGGATAAACTACAGTCGCGTTTTCCGTACTTTATACAGTTGATATATAGCGCAAGTGCACAGGCGACCGTTCGAGCTATGACAACTACTCTCGAATTGTCAGGCCTGCACAATCCTCTCACAGCACCTCTCTGATACCAATAAGTGCAAACGACTGGCTAGGTATCCCTTTAAAAACCAATCGTTCATTGCGACATCGTTGTCGTGAAACAAAAAAACACACGTTTCTAAAACTAACGTATTTGTTAGATCGTAACTGCATTATTTACGCCTGTCGAATTTACATGTAAGTCGAATTGCACATCTACCCTGAACCTCCCATCGGTAATTGAAGAGAGCCAGACGTTTTCGGAGCGTTATCATGAAATTCTGTCGGTCGGTTTTGTGTCGGCGGTAGCCCATTTTTCACAGGCGACGACGAAAGATTCTTCAGCAAAATGAGAAACTCGCGATGGACACGCGACGCTAATGCACGACAGGGACGAAAAAACGGACGAAGAAGAGTTGCTGAGAAGGCATAGTGGGCTGGAGGACCAAGTGGTGACACAACGGATGATTCCACCGATCTGTAACAGCAGGTAAATATAAGACCGGCTTGTTTAGTGACAATACTAGATGTAGAATGTAGCAAAAGCTGTAGACGTTGGAGGACGAATCGTTAATCAAACTGCGTTGCTCTTCGAATAATTAATTTCCCGTAAGATATTCGAGGCTTTAAACAAAACTCCACTTATATAAGTGGGGTTTTGTTTAAATATAAAAAAATACAGCATCATGAATATCTTCGTATTCAACTTAGTTGTCCTATAGCACAGTTTTTTCCACTTACAGAAATAGAACAATTAACAAAGTAACGGAACATAAGCTGTTGTTTTATCCCTTCTGCCAGCACTTTCTTTGTTCGTACTGTCGCTGCTGTCGTACCAGATCTGTGTGCTCACCAAAATTGCTTACCCAAACGAAACCTCGCGAACGCCACTTGTATCTGAGGGCGAATCTGAAGTTTTGAACAGCGATGCATCTTTGTGATGGCATTCGTTATTAATCATACATTGGCTACCAATATAGTAGTATACAGCATCAAGTACAGACTTCTATACATATTAGTTAACACGCATTTACCAACATTGGTAAAATGAGCATTCAAAGGAAGATGTAAATTGTAGCTTTGAATTCCAGTTGCTTTTAGAATCTTCACAGCCAACAGCGTCGAGGAACGAAGATCCCTCGGTGGAGTGCGATGTATTCATTTCGATATACTTCTTAGGCTTCGTCGCGCGCATGGGCACCATCGAATAGGATTAGGTGGAATAGATACGACGAATGGTGGCAGCGTTACAAAGATCCATTGATCGCAAAATATAATATACAATATATAATAATAAGATATAATAACAGTAAGCTGCATTGTTATTGTTGTTCCATGCTTAGCGGCCGGCCTGATTTTGCCTGTCGGGGCGTGATAAAGGGGAACCAAGAATAACGGGACGTAGCGATAAACAGAAGTGTTTTTTTTTAAACATGGCTTGCACACGCTATACTTATCATATCTGCGCAGTCTCAGATCCAAAGGTTACTGTATATATGTACCAAACGAAAACTGAGAATGATACTTAAACCTCCGCTAAAGTTCATTACGCATTACGTTACTGTTAAACGCTTGTATAAACACCTGGAAAGCAATTGGAGATGTATTGGTGGTCTCTAATCTTTCTCTTTTTCTATTTCTATCATTCCTTTCTTTCTTTTCTGTGCTTTTTCTCAAAGCTAAACCGGAAGCTTATTTAGCTCATAACTAGAGTAAACGAATATTATACGTGTCAGCTTTTCAATCTAGCCATAATAGTAACTATTATTATTATTATTAAAATCGGCATGGCGAGGAAGCCTATGTACATAAATATATACAAAAAAAACATAAATACATTAAAAAAAAAGGAAAAAAAAACACGAAGTCTGTTTTAGTTTATGGCATGGTTTAAAGACTGTAAAAGGGAAGGTGACGCCTGAAGTGTTGGACACTTCTTCGACCGCTTATACATCTAAGAAAGGATAAAACGCAACGTTTAAGGCCATGATTTATAATTGTCTATGTAAGCCAAAAAATCAGTAGTTTTTTTGAGCTACAATTAAAAAGAACCAGCTGGTGAAAAACAAATCTACTGAATATCTCTTTAAGACTGACACAAAATCATAACTGTTCCCAGATTTTCCCAACACCATTTTGCCGTGACGACAGATAGGGCAGGAGCATACAAACAGTACAGAACTCTGGCCATCTCAAAACACCAAAAGAACGCGATAAAAAAACAAGGGCTTATGAATCGCTTACGCTCGCTATTTCGAAAGGATAATCAATCTGATAAAGAAGCCTTCTTTCTTCTGGCCTTCAATCTCTAGGATGCGCTAGGCTTCAATTATATTTAGATTTAGCGTGTATCACATACGTCGAAATCCAGCGCGGCACAAATCAGATGCTGCAACTATAACCTATAACTGTTACAGGTTATAATGGTATATCGTATGTACATCTCAGTGGAAGTGCGCGGCCGTTTAGATTTTAAGGCCCGAGATTTCGATGGTGCACATGCCAGGGTAGCGAGCGAACAACATATGCTTTCCTCCTTGAGTCGTTCGTATTAAAAGGTTGTAGCTGACGTGGCGTACCTTTCCACCAGGGTCGCGTCAAAGGTGACATGCTCAACCCTGCGGACCTCGTGGGTCTTAAAGAATGAGTGTAAGTTCAGCCGTCCAAAGAAAGACTATCTGCTTTGCAAGTAACAACGTAAAATATGCGAAAGTTCTGGATGTTTTAAGTGTCGTACGAAGTAAACATTAAGCCAATTAGTTGTTTGGCATTGATTTAAAAAAAGGAGGACAGCTTCCAAGCTTAGTATTTTTACAGTTTTACAAAATCCGATAGATGTATCATAGTGATATTTTAATGTGTGTTTAATGTAAAATTTTTAAAAAACAAAGCCTTCAGCATTTGAACTTGACTGCGCGCTCAGGCCCCGAATTCTTCGCGGAGTTGCTTCAATACGGTAAAATTTTTCGGAACTATAGCGAACCTTTTTTTTTTTGTTATCTGGCCAGGTAGGACGTATCAAGGAGTTTATACCTGATTAATGAGCCTTCAGGCTCATTTAAGAGTTAAGCATCAGACGGCAGCGCCCCAATGAATCGTTATTCTACTGGATCTCGTCTAGTGGTGGTGGTCTACGTAACTGGAAATCGTATGATCATGACTAGTAGTTACTGATGGATCAGTGAAACGAATTGGCTGAAAAATTTTGTTCATAAGGGAAGGGAACGCTCTCTCAGAGCGCGTGTTTTTTTCTAGGTTCGTAGGGCCATTGTTCTAGAAACGGGTTTTTGCACTACTTTCTCAACAAATATCTGGGCCGACTAGGCTGGTCAGTAGAGAAGATCAAGACAACGGTAGATAGAACCAATTGAGGTTCGTTGGCAATATCCGCTACGATCGAGGAAGACAATACTTCACGTTACGGCTGCGTTAGTTATGCTATTACTCATGTATGTGTTTGCCCTGTTGTAGCTTTACTACTAGAGGTAACCATCGTTTCCACAACGAATCGATATAAAGCTTTGACCCTTCTAGGCCATTTCCACTTTCCAGGGTGTTTGGTGATACCTAGACAATACATTTATGGTTAAAGTAGTATGAAAGATTTTAAAGCAAAAAGTTTAGGTTTTCAACACTTGATGTTGTTGTTTTTTTTTCACGTATGGAGGTCAATTGGTCGCTCGGAGAACCGATACTGAAACGTCACCGATGTTCCTATCGGGTGATTCGCAACGATTGGACGAAGCTTAAAAATGACAGATTTTGGACTCGGACGGAAACGAAACGCTCAGAAATGTGAATGAGGTTTTCCTTTCTTTATTTTCTTGTTTGCAAAATTTGTATCATGAAATGTACACAATTATAGCTCAGAGAAAGAAAAATATATAATATTTCTTAGAAGAGGTTAACCTCTGATACAGGCAAACGGCAAGCCAGACGGTAACAAGCCTCTTAAAAGCAATGTATAAGTATGTTCGAGCAATACGTAGAACAGTTCACATTGAGTGATTTACGAGTGTAATATTAAAGCTGAGCAGTCCGGTTTTGAGCTAGTTTTGTCTATTAATTAACATCAAACAGTATGTGCAGTATAGTTTAGTCAACCTTAGCTTACCGTTTGCCATAATTCAACGGATTTACCGTCAGGTTTTACCCTCGACGCGCGAGGTCGGTTTGGCCGAAGGTTTCCATGGTTACCGGTGCATCTGTACTGGGTTAGGCCAAACGTTTTCAATTTGTTTTGATAAAAATAACATCACCAATTTGCGTGTTTCAAGATTAAATTCAATAGCCTTGAATTGAAAGTTTATTGTAACGTCAGGTTTCACATGTTTCGCCATTAATGGCTAATTATTGTACGATGATGCGCTCGCTTACTTGTTTTTTTTTGACCCATTTGTCCACTAGATAACATCACACCTCAGCGTAAAGCTTGCGGTGGTTTTGTCTAATAAAGACCACCGATTTTATATATATGTAACGTAAGATCATGGTCGTATCAGAGGTGTCGTGCCGTATACGATTACGTTTGTTGATCCATCGATCGAAAGGAGACAACAATTGTGATATGTAGAAATTCACTTCAAATTACTGTAGCTTAAGTCGAGGACGGACAATGAAACGCTGTGAACGAATTCTATGGATTTTCCTGTTTGGCTCCTCAGATATGGTCACGACCTAGAACCACGTCATGGCAAATGCGAGGTCGGACACTTTGGCAGTCTTGTGTTAGTATTATGGCGGTATATATGTATAAATTGGTTGCAACTCCTTCATAATGCTAGTTTCAACAATATATTATATAAGTTCGTTGCCTTGCATGCAACATATAAAATCAATAATAATAATAAAATTATTATAAAAATCGTCGCTCCCCTTCTAGTCGAAGCGTTTCGACCATATGAGGATGCTTTTCAACTAAATGAGCCTTGCTCTCATGATTATGTCTGTATATACGAACACATATTAAATCGGCTTCGGGTACGTTGCGTAGCAACAATGGATGTATAACAAACATCGAAATCTTTTCCTTTGGTTTCTATTCATGAGCGGAGTTCACACACAATTTTGACACCACTTTTATAGCTACTCATGAAACATCTAAAATAAAAAAAAGCAATATAATACTGCTACAACTACTACTACTACTACATCTAGTAAGCATGATCGTAATATTGTTGTACAGGGTAAGCTTGGGGCTTGAAAGCCGTAATGGATCAAAGAATGGTTAAAAATTGCTGAATATTTTAGCTGGGCTTTTGCCGTATTGAATTTTTTTTCGTATATTCTACGAATTTTACTTAAGAGATTCGAAGAAAGGTGTCGTTATGGGGCTAATTCTAGCGATTTTAGACACTGATTTAAAATTTCATTGCGACACGATCCCGTCCTGACCGGCGTCGGTCGCGTTTATCTTCTGTGACGCGTTGATTTTAAGCTAGCAATTGCAGAGCTGGAACACAGAGTAACTGAATTGATAAATGAAAAAGAATTCACATCATGGTTAGTGCTGATGTTTGTCCTGCTGTCTAGTCTTCTTCCTGTCCGTCGTTGTCGTCCTCGTCCGGGATGCATTCTGGCACATCGCCCCTCCATTGACCAAGTCGACAAAGCAACGATGAGGTGTGGTCGTACCTAAACCTATACTCTGGATCGCATCTGTTTGAAACCGACAAATAACAGACGAAAAGCCCACAAAAAAGTCACTAACACTCCTGCAGTCACAACAAAATATTCTGTGGCCAGCATTAGAGCAAATTAGAAATCACAGATATATATATATGCACGAAGTAATGGGAGCTATACAAATGTTATTATATAAATGTAGTTTTATATAAATGGCACAACGCAGTAAGGTTACTTTCGCTATTCATTCACATAGACTAATATTTCAGTCCGGTACATGGAACGCTGTATAGAACGTGGGTGCAATATCTATCTATGAGACAGAGTCTTTTTTTTTTTCGCAAATTTTTAGGAATTTCGTAAAAACTTACCGTACAAGTATTTCCTTGGTTGTTATTATTATTATTATCGTTACCGTACTTGCAAGTTGTGAGAAAGTGCTGCTTATTCAAATTGTCAAAATTTATCTATGAACGTGCTCTCAGCTTATAAGCTAGTGATGGACGTGTTTCAAAGACATGTATTACCTGTACGTAACGCGAAGCATTTGACTATCTGTTCCATTAATTAACTCGTAGCTGAGAATGAACCCATTCTCGATGTCCGGGGCTTTGTTATCTAAGAGAGCGCATGAAGTGTCGTATCCTTTCTTTGCCTTTTTGTCCGACTTAATTTTGGATTCTTTCATTTCTTTGACGGGCCTTATCGTTAGTTCGTTATCCATGTTATCTTCAACGACTCCATCTGTTGCTATAGTTCCATTGCTAGTATTTTCCGACTTGTTACCCAAATCATTGTTTCTGGCATCCAAATATTGTTCTATTACATTTATGGCATTTTCTCCGCCCATAAGATCCATCGTCCATTTCATTGGGTCCGAAATTTCTGCTGCGATATTTTTATCAGACACTTCCTTCGAAGTGGGAGTTGTTGATTTCACGAGATCGGTTTCGGCAGTGCTTGGAGTGAATTCGTTTGAATATCCTGTGAAAGATGCCGACGATTCGGCTTCTTGGGTTTTGTTAACCGGTTTGTGCCCATCCTCAGTGGCCGTGAACTTTATCGGTCTGGGAGCAGAAGCAACTGCCTTGAACGGCAAGGTTAAAGGTAAGGTTTCAACATCCTCAGCTAAGCTGTCCGTAAGGAGTGTACTGTTAGGTTTAGTGCCTGTGAAGTCCAAATTGAGCATAGGGGATAAGAAAGGTTCGACAATGATGGCGGTAAACTGAGAACTCAGGCCGGCCACATGCTCAGCCGGGCCTCGAGCCGTTTTCACTTTTGGTTCTGCTTTATTGGACGTTGACGTTACCTCTAATATCGTACGAAATCTTAGTTACATCGCTAGTCCCTGTTTTAATTAACTTCTTGCTAAATCTGGCGAACTAGTCTATATCTGTAAGAAACGGATCCCTCTTACGTATTCGGCCAAGAAGCAAATCATAGAAATGTAATCTAGATTATATTTGAAAAGCAGATGAGAAAAAGGACGTACTCAGTACTTGCGAAAGGAACTTCTGGCTCTGAATAGGATCATCCTTCGACTTGTGGTTCCCTATGCGGCGGTCTTCGATAAATTTAAGCCTTAGTTTGGTGTCCGGCAACCATTCAAGTGTGTCGACGTCCTGTTGCGATAATCTGTTTTCTACTATATCTTTTTCGAACTGTTTCAGTGACTCGGGAATCTTGATAGGTGGATCCGCTGCATCTAATTCGTCATTATGAATCTTACGTCGATCCCTTCGGCGGCTGGTCCTGTCTCTGTTTCGTGTTTTAGATAGTTTAGTTAACGTAACTATCCTAGGGGCAATAATTATATAATATAGCTAAACAAATTATTGTTGTCATGAGTTAAGACGCCCACATCTAGATACAAGCTTATTAAAACTGAGAAATCAAGCTAACTTCTTCTTTTTTTTCACGTTTTTTCTTCACTTTTTATTTGTTGTCAGCGGCGTCGACGCGCCATAAAGTTTTTGGGAAAAACGCTGCAAAATTCGAAGGAGAGTGAGAAATCGAGTTCACTCTTTATCATTCGTTCACTAGATAGTAGCCTCGTAACAATACATGCACTGATTTCGCTTTTCGTTAGCACGAAAAAAAAACTACGAAAGAAAGCTGTCGAAAACCCCCATACAGTATTTCTATATCCAAATATGATGGCCAAACTTTTCCCATAGGCATTTCTAGAAATCTGTCATGAAATGTTTACTTACAGCGTTAATTGGGCCTGTTCATACAAACCCGGATAGTCTCGTCCTAAGGTCTCTGTGATTTCAGAAGGAAGGCCTGGTAACACTGGCAGACGTAACGGTGGCAGCGGACCTAATGGATAGTGAAGATGCAGGATACGCATTTTCTTTGACAGACTATTAGAACATTTGCTAAAAAAACCAATAATACATTTGATGCATTTTTCGAAAATAGTAGGCGAAACAAAGGGCGACTTTCTACATGCTTCGGCATCTACCTAAAGGTGCATCTGACTTCAGCCGAACAAGTGGTTACTAGAAATATATCAGAACAAAAAAAGTTGCGTCAAAAATGAACTGTCTTCATAAATGATCGAGTAAATTATGGTTCGGGTGGGTCTGTCAACAAACGGAGTTTAACACATATAATTTTATTAAACAAATATTCTCGTCTGATTTCTCATTCGTCAATGATGAAAACAAAGAAGAAATACAAAAATACTATACAACTTCTCAATGTGGGCTGAAAAAACTAACCCGCCTGCATTCCTTGGCTATTTAAGGTTTGCAAATTTCGAAGACGATAGTCACGCATCTGCTGAACGTGGCCAAGGAACTGTTCTCGAAGCCTTTGATTCTGATTCGCTGCTTTTTCACCTAGAGTGAGCACAAATAATAAATAAATAAACAAAAACAAGCAATTACGCGCGTCTTATCCGTGGTCGGGCGTAAATCATGCGAGGAGGTATTTTATGTATGCATAACCATTCAACCAATATAATTATTATATTACTCTTTACATTGATCTCACCGGTGAGAGCCTGTGGTAGTGGTCTCCCGAACGGATCATATCGCGCCATGGACATCCATTCCCCGCGCTGGACACATTTAGGCCAATTAGCTGACCAACGTTCGTTAAGCCGAGAACAGCTTACGGCCATTGAAGACACCGGGTGACCTGGGCGTAACGCGGCGCATTATGACAAATAATCATATGTTTTTTTTTTGATGATATATATATATATATATATATATATATATATATATATATATAGCATTCAAATTAACCAGCAGGCTCAAGAAAAGAAAAACATGGAAGCACTTACATAGTCGATCCACATTAAAATCTCACGTAGACTACAGCTTAGAATTTTGTTATTTGAAAGTCACATAGTATGTTTTGTATTCCTAAACCTAGTCTCAGCTTCTCTATCTGGTATAAGGCTGCCAATAATGTTTTTTCGAGTAAGCTTGACTCAACGTAGAAGCTCCATATGCAAAAAAGTTTGGTTAAATTTTAAAAATTATTTCTACGTACATTGATTTTGAGTCTTATTGCTACGCAATGTTAGCATCCATACGGTACCCTTGGGCTTATATCTATATGAGAACATGTTTGATTCAAGTACACGTGTATGTATGTATATGTATAGCTCGACAAGCAGAAGCTTGAATTATATCTACAATCTCCCATGATAATATCATTGGCATTTAATCTTAGTCCTAATTCAACGAGCGCCTTTTAGGCAGCCGTTGAATTAGGGCAAATCCATTGTTTACGGTTATCGTAACTTTACTAAAGCTTAAGAATAACGCGTTAGCCCAGAGTTCAGTGAGAAAGAGTTCCATAGTATTAGCCAAGTATTTTAATTTGCAACAAAAAAGTTCCCTTTTGATGTCTGCAGATACCGAATCTAGAAAGGTAATCAGTGGACACTATTTATACATGATCACGCCCATATAGTTCGAGGGCTTAGCATGGTATACATTACATAAGGTTTCAAATCATAGAAGTACGCCCTGAATTGTAAAAATTCAGCCGCCGTTGCTGTCTGAAGAACCGATAGAGGTGACACCGCAAAGGAATCAAACAGGATTAAATGGCATAATCTTTTTTTTGATGCTGAAAACTAGTTTAGATACTACTATGAAAAAATTATCATTAAGTATTCTAGCTGTGTATTCTTACACAAAAAAACATGAGCGGGCAAAATTGTAAAGAGCTGCTCGACCGGTACGGTGTATGTGCAGGACGAACCTTTGGACGGCGATTCGTGACACGGTGTCTGTCTGCATACATACCCTCGATAACGTAGCCGGGTCGACAGTGGATTAGGACTCGTTCACCTGAGTCCTGTACGACGATGTGTCCGCCTTCTATTCGGTGTGGTGGTACCCCACACTGTATAACGGTGAACGGTTGAGGATTTTTTACCTTTACAAGAGCAGATGAGAAAGGATCCGGATCCAGGACACAATCGGGCTCCCTTCCTCGCGGCGTACTATTAATGTGTTCATCATAGTCCACAAGGATTTAGTTATTGTAGCGTTTCGTGAAACGGGATTTAGGTGACCCGTATTATTATTTAATATAGCGTAGTTCACCAGGGTTTAACCCAGGTCGAAAATGTTTTACGGGATGTCCCTTTAACATGTTAGCGTAAAAGTACGATACGAGAGAACGGCTATGTCTTCAGTTTAATACGGAACACATATTGAGACTGATGATAGATAACTATGGGACCTTAAGCAGACTGACACGTCATTCGAATGTTCAGACTTACGTCGAATCGCTGCAAGGCAATATAGCCTGGCCCCGTAGGATGTATCCTGTATTACACTGGAAGTAGAACATTCGGGTTGTGCTTTGACCATCCTGATACTGAAAGTATGTGCCTTGTAGAGGTTCGTTAGGGAGTCGATCATCACATCCGATCTGTTGGTACTGCCGCTCAAGACACGACAGGTCGTCGCCTCTCCATTGGCCATTTTCGCACCTCACAGAGTTCTTAGAACCAGCTGAAGTTTCATATCATATAATTAATAGAATATAACAATAGGTTTAAAAGTACTCGCATTACTGTTATCAGTTAAAATAGAATATGGCACTAATAAGAAATAAAATATAACGAGATAGTGGTAGTTTGCATGCGTTGAACCGACCTTGCGATTTGTTCCTTGTCAAAGAACTGCATTAATGATTATAGTACTACAAAATTGTTCAAGATTGGTCAAAATATATATTGTTGTAAGTATCCCTATCGAGCACAGTTTCGGGAATTGTCAAAAAGGACGGAAGAATTATGTGTATGTGGCTTCGTACTTACAGCAGCGGAACGCGACGCGTCGGCCACCCTCCATTATGAAATACTCAGTCGACTTCGCATTGGCCAGTTGTTTAGGCCAATGACACTGGCGACCCTCAAAATGCGGATCCAAACCATCAACAGTACTTTCCCAGAGATCTCTACGAGAATCGGTGGAAGTCGGTACGCATCGCGGCAGGACAAAATCGTCATTCAATACAAATATGGCCTTTACAGACAAACAGAACACGTACAATAAGTCTACAACACAATCAATTCAAAACGTATGCGTAGAAAAATAGTGATATATCGATAGATATAGCGTTGTGTGATAATAGCTAGGCATAATGTTTATTAAAGTTAGAAAAAACAAAACGAACCTTTGTTTCAGCAAAACGTTTCATTGATGTGTTAGCGGATACCCTCTTCGACGATCACTAACCTTTGGATAAGTTGGCCGGTAGCCCGGACAGACAGCCATCGATGAGCCTTCGAGGTTGAAACCTATATTACATTGGAATACGTAATGGTTTTCATCGTAGACAAAGAACCCGCCATTCTCAATAACGCGACCTCCCATTGAACAGGCAGCAGGGACGTCCTGGCCGTTACACGCAGATGCCCCGACATTATGTAACCATTTATCACCTTCACATATCAGGGCCCCGACAGACCGTTTGCTTGTCCGGCTCTTGCAGCCCAGAGTGATCACTTTACCTGGGCCCTGAATGTACCACGTGTATTTGGACGAAACCTATGTGCACAGTTAACGGATTGCAATATATATGCGTTTGTCATAATGGGTAGGTCTTAATCGTACGATGGTACTGAGCACAGGGATCTGTACTAATGATGATAAGCTTTTACCATAATTTTTTAAATAATAATAATAATAAGAGTTTTTGGAATAAATAGAGTGATCAAATTATCATTTTAAATAAAACGATACTGAAATATATATTCTGATCTATTACATTACGTATATTTTATATATAAATATATGTATGTATATATCAACAAGACATAAAATACGACAGATTCGACCATATATTTCGGAGTTGCTTTCTTAGCTCGTATTTTATCATAGTTGCTGTTAGTGCCATTTGAAAGCTCTTTGATGCTGAGGAAATCTCTACAAGATTCACTAAAATTTATAATGATAAAATGAAGGCACAAATGCTGCTCAGGCCCATGAAAAAAAGTATGATGGTTATGGTCGAGATTTGTTCTCAAAAGAAACTGCCCAAAGATGGTTCTGTCGGTTTGTTTCTGGGGATTTTTGTATAAAAGGTCGACCAGTTGCAGGACCGACACATGAGTAGCAATGAAATTGCCCAAGAATCAATCTTAAGTCAGTTGAAGGAAGCGCACTGCAAAAAAAAAGGCCCAATGTGCGGGCGTCACAGGAATTGACGCTAAAGCATCTATTTGATCGTGTGTCCATCTTTGAAACTCTGCAAGAAGGCAAAAAAAACTGAGCCGTTTCTAAGGCGATTGATCACCTGAGAGGAAAAGCGGATCACGTACGACAATAGTGTGCAAATGAAAAAAATATGCTGTGCACGTGGAAGTAGGTGGACTATAGATACCTGAGGCGGTGGACATTCGTCAATTTGGAAACGAGTATTGCTGGGGTCGCCCAGTTGGCTCTCTATAAACGTTGGGTCTGGCCTAGTATCAACTCTTTGGTCGGGCACACAACGCGGCGGTCGAACACCGAAGTCCCACACGCCGATATCCTGTCGGCAGTACGTCTGCTGATTACGCTGTTCATTCGAGGCGTTCTCAATGACGAAACCGTGGTTGCACTGGATATAACCGACATCGTCACTATACTGGTAGAAACGGCCGTTTTCTATTTCCTGTGGCTCGCAGACGCCTTTCAAACTACAATCGGGCAGAGGCCCGGTCCACATGTTTGTATGAGCTGGACAAACTCGTTCAGTCTCTGAGTGTAGGTGATGTTGGCAAGTATAGGTAATTCGGCGCCCACGGTCGCGTACCGTCATATGCGAATTGGCGACAGTAGTGGGCGCCGTGCAATTCTCACTTTCATAAATGATTTCGCCATTCATCGAGGGCCACTTGAGACCATCTGGCGGCGCACATAGTGGTTCAGGTTGGCTCCAACGGGAATTTTCACATTGCAACATACTCGCACCGCGAATAATGTAGTCTGCATAACATTGGTAATAAATGACGCGTCCTTGGCTATACAGATAAGCGTCGCCTCCACGAATATGCTGAGGAGTGCAACGACGGAACGGGGCATAAGTTGATCGTTGGGTGGGCGGAATCATCGACGTTTGAGGCGTAATCCGAAAACATTGGGGTGCTTGTGGGTTAAGCCATCTGCCGCCGACGCACTCAGTAAAATCTCTTCCTACGAGTTGTTCTCCGGGCTGACAACGATAGTAAACCTTGTCGTTCCGCGGGATCATAATGACACCATCAGCTCGGGGTGGCAACGGGCAGTGCGGGGTTGGAAAAATTCTTGAAGGTTTTGAGTCATGAGGTAATGAGCCGGGCGATGCAACGCAGACAGGTTCGGCATCCCAGCGACCGTCACGACACAGTTGCACGCTTAAATTTCCGACCATTTCGAAGCCATCATCGCAGCTGAACCATCGGCCATCGCTGTATGCGAACACGACCATATTCTGGCCGAGAACGGGTTCTTCGATGTTGCAACCTCCAATCACGTCAGCGAGACATCGCGGAGCTTCATCAAGCCATCGACCTCGATAGCATGTTGTTTGATATTTGCCTACTATCCGGTAGCCCGGACGACACCGGAAACGTACTGCTGTGGCCGTAATATAGTCGACTTCGACGTTTGGCGGTGCGTGAATAGGTTTGCAAGTAGTTAGATGTTCAAGATCATTCTCCGAACTGATACAACTTGGCAGCGGTTGTGACCACGCACCGCCCTCTGTGCATATAATCTTCATGTGGCCGTTCAGCCTGTAACCGGGTGCACACGTGAGACGAGCGTAGTTGGGCATAGCCTCCTCGTAATAGTGAACACGACCCCCGGGTATTCTGAGGCTGGGGCAACGCGAAGGCGCTTGTGGCATTTGGTCGTTGTGGGGTATCTCGTTTTTGCCGTCCGCCACGCAGACGGGAGCGAGTGGTGACCAAGTTCCGGATTCACACTTCGAATAATCAATGCCATGCAGGCCGAAGCCTTCATTGCACATAAAGCGTACAACGACCGTCCTGTCTTGATTTGTTAGCCGATGTGGCTCAGTGACGGCCCCATGAACTGGAGCATTGGGAGGATTATCCATGCACGGGTCAACAAGTTTAGGATCATTTTCACAGGTTGGCATTCGCCCAGCGATCGGGATCCACCGCCCACGGTCACAGAGCATCTGCGAGTCACCTTTGAGTGTGTAACCAGGATTGCATTTGATTAGTATCCTACCCGTAGGCAAGCCCGGCCTCTGGATAAGTCGCCCATTACGAATGAAGTTCGGCGAAGGGTCTTCGCAGTCAAAGACTGGCGTAGGGCCCCTGGCGTCCTCACAAATCGGCATTCGGTTCTTTCTTGTGATCCACTTCCCGCCTTCACAATATATGTCAGCAGGCCCACGGAGAATATAGCCAGCATCGCATTCGATTGTGATCCTCTGACCAGTTCTGTCGAGGACAGGCCTTCCGTGACGAATCATCTCAAAACCAATGTCCCACGGCTTTGGACACGATAAGAATGCAGGCGGAGTATCGATTCTGTCACCTAAAAGAGCACAAATATGTTACATGCATATTGTTATTATATATACATACCGATACTGACAGTATTTCCTTTTGAAGTGAGTATATTCAAATAAATATATTTTAGTAGCTAAAACCACAACTGTGACGCTGCCCCAACTCTTAAACGCTGAAAGCTTACGTTAACATCTCAAGCTTCGCAAAAGGTAGCATAATTTCGCTTCTATTCTACACGCTTGGGTAAATACTTAGATTCTATTTATCCAAGTCAGTTTCTTTCTAGCCAGGTCAAGATGATATATATCGTTACTTGTCTATTTCAATTCCTCACCAGAGACGAGACACTGCGTAAGAAGGCCTTACTCAGCGTAACAACCAGTTAGCTACACAGAACTCACCATTCCTCTCCAAGAAGGCGGTCAGTTGCTGGTATTCGAAGCGCTGAAGGAACTCCGGCCAGTCACGTTTGGGAATGTTGAATTTAATAATGTGTTTGATTACCGTGACCAAATGCGAGAAATACGAGTTGCGCAAATTCACCTCCTGAAGCTCGGCTTTTGTGCCTTAGGCCACAATGTAGTTACGTGAAAACTTTAGCTAGCGTAGTTAAAAAAAAAGCTGAATTTGAAGACCGTTCATCGTATACATGAGTCACGCTTGAAGTTAGTGCCCAAATAACCTATATTCACAATTTTTGCATCATTAATAGGATCGCCTATCTTCGCTGAAGAAAGCAGTAACTTGGTAGTTCGTTTAAAGGGGAGTAAAGATAAATGCCATATTGATATTGAGACTAAAATCTCGGAAACAAATAACTTGATTTGGTATTTATGGTCGTCGGATTCATGGAAGGTTCATCGATGTAAAGACATGAAAATCATATTTTCACAAACTGGGATGAAACCTATCCTATCGTGCGAGTCGATAGTACCAGTACGTAAAGTGTACCTTGCCTTTCACCAATGAAATATATAAAACCGAGTATAGGCAAGTAAACGTGTACTAAACTGATGCGGCCTTCAAAATTTATTATTATTTTACCATTAAAAATGGTCTATTCCGCAAAAATTCACTTCAATTTGTCGAAAAATTTATTGAAATCTGTTCCATAAGTGTCATCTTTGTCTACTTGAACACGGTCAAAAAAACTGCGACGTTTGGGCGAATAAATAACTGATAGGCAAAGGATATCTTTGTTTTAAGTACTACGGGCGGTACCGCTGTTAAGCACTAAGCTATCACGAGCTTAGAGGGTAGCGTATTTGCCTGCTAATTTTAGGGACATGTTGCAGTCTGGGTTCATGACCGAGCACAGATGGACTTCGTTTCGTGTTGGAAGCCAGCCGTTCGATGGAAAGCCTAACGGCGATACCGGGCGTAAAACTTAATACAAAGGCAAGGGATGTTACAATAGCGCGATTGAATTACATGCAAGTAAGGAAGTTAGTGAGGGCGAATCAGGGAAGTAGGAGAGCAATAGAAGCGTGTTTGAGATCCAACCTACCATCAAGTACTTGAGTTAAATCTCTGTCAAAATAATCCTTAAATCTGCTACGCGTTGGTAAGAGTAGTTCAGATTCACCACGTTCTCGTTTCTTTTTTCGAGAACTGGGTTCCTCTTCCTTGTGCTCCTCTTCCGGTCCGCCAATGTCTACCTTTTCGGCCGAGTCTTTGCTTTTGTCTAAGTCATCCGGTTCGATTAGGTCGTCCGATTTATCTAAGTCTGTTTGAGACTCATAGCTGCTCTGTGCTGACTCCTTAACTTGCGGCTCGATTTCTTCCTTCTTTTGTTGAATCAAAATGTCCTGTATCACATCGTTAGCTACCATCTCGTAAAAGGCCGCCTCATCATTTGTTTCACTGATGTTCGATTCTGGGTGGCTAGTTTCTTCGACGTTTAGCGCGGAAGGTGCGGTATCGGCCGTGACTTCCTTCTCGACTTCGGAAAGAAAAGGTCTGACCGTCGCTAATGCACTGACACTCTCAGCATATGGCAAAATGCGATCGGAAAGCACATCGAGATAATGCAACCCGTAGTACCTGCGATCAGCGTAAATTTAGCTTACTAGAATAGATGTAGTACGTGTATGTTGTATGCTGGTTGAAAGACATCTTCTTTCAATGTCGCTCGGGCTATATTGGCTTGAATTTAGAGCTATTCTCCCTCTAGGTGAAATTGAAATTGTTTGTATGATCTTATACTAACCTTTTTAGAACCTCATCGTCTTCGTCGGCGTCAAGAGGCATTTCCTGATCGAAATTTGGGTCATTCTCCCGCATTTTCTTTGCCAGTCGTCGGAACTCTGCACTATCCTTGAATCTTCGAACAACGCCTTCTCTGTCCAAAATGGCCTTGTCGTAGGTGGCCATTTTGCCGAAGAAACGGTAGAATGGGTCGTTCATCCGTTCTAGCATTGCTGATGCTAGCCTAAATGGGTCAAATCGATACGGGTCTATTACGCAAATCCTTGGGAATTGCCTGCTCGCGCTGTTAACACATCTACCAGAAGGATTCTAGCTTCGGAGAATCGTCAGTTACACGACTTCAATGAAATTTGGACATCTTCAGATCCAATAGAATCTGTTTCTATTGCTAAGTAATAAACGGTCTGCATCACTATCTAAACCGGTTAACGTTAGGCTTCTAGTTTTTAGTATGAACATGCTTCGGACGCGCCATATAGCCCAGCAAATAATTCCAGGTGGTAAATCTCTTAAGTGGATCACGATGCCTCGGTACTGAAGGGTACATGTTGTACTTGCAGTTTCGTGCATATATTTTGTGCAACGGCTTCAGGTAGGACAATCGTACTTGTTTTTAATTTAGTACATCTCGCGTTTATGCATCCATTGAGATGTACTTATAGTACCTAGGTATAGAAAAACATCGGCTACCTTTGAGATTGGATGGTTCCATCGGTGAATTTGCGATCCAAGATAAGTACTGGAAAGTCAGGACCACCTGGTTAGGCTGTGCTAATTGTATTCTGAAGTAAATTTCGTGACTGAGTTAGTCAGCTAATTCGAATACAGCCTCCGGAACTTTCTAGGTAAACTGCTTTAGTTCCATGGGAGTTTCGAAAAGCGAGCAGATTTGTTTTAGTAAATCAGATCCAGGAAATTAGAACGTAAAATACTTTTTGTTTTTGTTTTTTTTTCTTATTTTCTTTTAGCACCTACCATTATCCTCATTATTCGAGATCCAACTGGCGATATTGTCTAAATTTTCCAGAGACCATGTTCTGAAAGTGGGCCAGTCATTTTATTTAAAATTTACACTGCATCTATCGAAGAAGCAAACAGTATACCGCCCAGACTAGAATATTACTACCAACAGAACCAAAAATTTTAGTAAAAAGTTCTAAGTAGTCTAGTTAGGATACGATCTTCATAAATCGACGATCTGCAGTTAACAATATCCAATTTGTTGACTCCTTCATATCTGTAGAGTGTTAAATACTTCGTCGCGAATTCGTCAGATATTGAACTTTTTTACTTCTAACGACTAGCAAACAAGTTAATTGAAATGATCGAACTTTTACATCGATCTTTACGTAGATAGTTGAAACTCTATTAGAAAATGAGTAGCTCTCATAGCTTGCGGCCCCAAATTCACTGCTTTTATATTCATATATTTCTCTTACTCAAAATATAAATAGAGCAAAACTTACCTATGGTCGTAGGGGCACTTCATTTCTGAAATTATTCGCGATAGTTAGTTATGGTGCAGTATATAATACATGAATGTATATAACGATGTTTTCGATGCACCGACCCATAATAAGACGCAATTAATAACGAAACATGTTTAGCGGGAAAAAAATACATCGCCGTTTATTGCTTTCCTTATGACCTGTCGTTTCGTATCGTAGGTATTTTATTGACCTCATTTAAGCTAGCTCAATGAAATGGTGAGCTTCAATGTTTTTGGTACAGATAAACTAAAAGTACGTTATATAACTCAATGAGACAAGTTTTTCAACTGCTGGGCGAAATAACTCTGCGCTGGCCATTGGAGTCGAGCTTGTGAATTTGTTACGAGAAAATCAAGTTTAAAAGCGCGTTCATCTCATTGAAAAAACCATCAAAAACCATCTCATTGAACGTGTCTCGCTGACGGCTTACGTGACAACCAGACGGGTGTTATGCGTAAGCTCCCCATATGTCAGGTAATAAATTCTGGATACCCACACAAAATATTTTTCGCGGATATTTTTTACAAGAAAACATTGTTTCAGCAAAGAGAAAAGGAGACAAGGCTCGAAGAACGCATGGGAAGGTTGCGTGGCCTCGAAAGCAGGCGTGTGCACGTCACGGTTTATAGAATAACCTAGAAATCGTAGACTGTGAGATAGATAGATCAGGCCGAGAAAAATATTTTACTGTATATAATGACTTTTGTATTACTAAGCAGGTTCACCGGATTTCCTAACAGTAGCAGTTTTTCTCTCAGAAAAAAAAATGCGAAACATACATCGCTCATAATATATGCTATCCAAGATGCGTGCTGCTCAGTACTATCTGAGCTTAAACTGACAATGAGGGCTTTGGTCTCGTCGAACTTTGGAACCTGCTAGTAGATGTTCAGCGTTCCAGTTAGCACACTTGCACTGTGTTAAAGAATACCATATCTCAAGTCAAGCCTATTTCTTCCGGATATAGCAAGCGTGATGCACGAAATCGTCTCGTATGCAGAAGTGCCTAAACAGGTTTTCGGTTCGGCAATACACACCTAGGTAAGTTGAGAGGTTCTATCACTGAACCAAGTTCTTTATAGATGGTCGCGCACTGATAAGACAATCGCTTAACGTGGACTGATGGACAGATCGATTAGAATTGGCTCTTAACGTATGACAAGATAATCTCCAATGTTCTTCAATTTTTGCACAGCTAACATCATTAGGAGGAGTACTCAACGAAACCGTATGTTTCCTTATGTGTTATTCGAAGGTGAACTCAAGCTCCTATATTAGTTCTTACATGTATTAACACTTCTTCCTCTTCGTCTTTTGGGTCCAACACTGACGCTTACGTGCACCTTCATCTTGCCGACAGACATATAAACTATGCAAAGAGAAGTATTCATTTATATTTTTATGAATTTATGGCTGACTTCAACAGTGTGTAGTTGTTAACGGTGATTATTTGGCTGGGGTTCAGTTAGCCAGTTGCCATCTGCCACATCTTCATCGTCGTCCATGGTGTCATTGCCTTTGCTGGCGTCACGGACAAGCTTCATTGGCGTAACCATTTTATTTCGTTGTTGAAGCGCTTTAGCTACAGGTTCAAATACTGCCTCTCTCGATGAGGAAAAAAACCGCTCGAACTGACCGGACAAGGACAGGGGTCTTTTCGGCGACACCGGTCGTGGCCCACGTTTCAAAATTAAGGGAAGAGTGTTTTCAGGACCTTCGGTAGGTTTAGGGGCGGCATCGTTGTCGTCGTCTTCTCCGTTAAAAGTCGTGTGGCTTTTAGGCAAGCTCGGACTTCGTGCGGACATAGTTGAAGCTATTGTTCTCAAGGATCGAGAAAGAGCGTCCGGAATAATCAATGTCATGCAAACAACGTACATAAGTAATTAGAGGACGCCAGGTTAAATGGAACATACAACGCCCCGTTTCCCGTTCTAAGTGTTTTTAGGAATCCCCAAAACTTTTCGGCTGGTTCGACTGAATAAACGAACGCAAGAGATCGATAAGACTCGACCCGCTGTTGGAAGTTTCATTAAAGTGAACTTAGTCGTGCGCAGAGATGAACTGCGTAACAAATACTGAGCCAGCATGCCACGCCGTAATGGCAGCTATGTGTGCTGAGCTCAATCATTACATAGATTTCTAGACTCTGCGGCTGCGAACATAGAGGCTATAGCAAGCTGAATGCGGTGTGAAACATTTTTACATAATCATAACTTCGTAATTCGGTTGTAGTGTTAGGCGGTAACACCATAGTAAACTTGCATAAAATATGAGGCTGTTCCGGCCATAACAGAAAATACAATCGATGTATACTTACTGAGCGTTGTTTTTGGCAGCTCACGACAGCTTGGAAGCTCATGATCCCAGCCCGTGGAGACACACGTGCTAATTCTCTGACCCACCAATTCGAAACCGCTTGCACATCTGAAATGGACCTCGTTCAGGACCGTCTGCACAAACAAAGGTGGGTCTACACCGTGTTCGTGGTCACTGCATGTTATTCTTACCGAAGGTAAATCTCCTGTAAAATTAAGCAAAACAAGTGGCCCTGTACAGTTTGTTCCTGGTAAATGTTCAAAGAGAAAAATCAACACCACCTTCCCCGTCCTACAGAATTTGTGCGTTGAAAATATAAGTTACATCATATGTATCGTTCTTATCGAACATTATTGATGAATATAGTCCACAAATATTAGTACAAGAGACGTCTACGTTACCAAACGTAAACAAACATTTTCCTAAAATCAGATCAGTCTAAATATCATCGTCATTTTTACGGGCGACTTATGCGAAGCAGACGTTTCGATCAATTATGCTCCTGTGATCGTGCACAAGTGGTAAATAGTCACTGGAAAAAAATATTGGGTATCATAGTTCATCTGATAATTCGTTCTGAATGGCCTTGACTTTCATATCAATCCCGTTGATTTATCGACGAACGCTCGTCTCGAGGCATCTGCTGATTGCATAGGACAACACCCTGTAAATGTCAGTTGTGGATGGTTCTCTTGTGCCCCACTTATGCGCATTGGCCCCACATATCATGAGCACGTCCTACATCCGTCAGCATGTGCTTGCTAAAAGTGCACCACTGCACGTTGTTTCTTTAGTTCGTAAGTGATATATCTAGCGGTGATTTGGCTATTGGTAAATGCTATGATAATTTTGCAGCACATCCGTTTAGAAGATGGCAAGATGCAGCTTAACCCAACGATATATTGCTGCATGAATTCGTCTAGCAGAAAATCAAGAAGGGTCCTGGGGGCTGAACGGAAATGTCGAAGTGTCATGAATTTCGGCGTACACGACAAAATGTATGATAAACATTGCATTTTTAGCTATCAGTGAAGCTAGATAAACATCAGTTATCAGATTAAATGTACCTAAGTAATAGTAATGACAAAACGAATCGAATTTAATGAGATATATTGATCTTAATTGTGGCAGATGGGAATCGAACGTTTCACAATTTTGCGCTACCCTGTCACGCTATATTAGTATAGCGCGCGTTATTTACGAGTACATAACGGCTGAAAAAGATCAGTGACTGACAAAGGGCAATCGCTGCTATCCAGGTGTATGTGCATGCGCGGCCGATAGTAACAACGCTCACCAACTATAGCCTAAAAATCAAGGTTTTGAACGGCACCGAAACAAAGTGAAACATCGAGTCATCTATTTGGCAACGTTTATTGGAACACAGCCTGTCGTATAGACGGAAACTGGATGTTTACCACTATATATATATATATATATATATAGGTTATGATATAAGATATCTAGTTAATTCTCCTTAGTTTCTACAACTTCGGTAAGAGGCCAGAAGCAATGAGAAAAATGAAGTTACTATCATCATGATTAACCCAGTACAGCGCAGTCGAATGTGCTCATACTACAAAACAATACTGGAATGAACCAACAGCCAGTCGCAATATTGCCAATACAACCGTATCAAGGAGCTACTACAGAGCCAAAAAAAAAAAGTTAAAAATAGGCCACCGGAAGAAGCTAAAGAAGCCCAATGAATCATCGCACTAACGAGCAGAACCATTTGGAAAGCTGTTCTTTAAACAACAGGCGTCAGCGAGGCGTCGCTCAAACCGGTTAAGAAGACGAGGACAATGAAACAAAGAAGAAGAAGGAATAATGCCGAACCGACGCGTAAACGATGGGAATGTTCGAAAACTAACGAAACAAGGAATGAACTGACGTTCGCAGACGGAAGTGGATGAACAGAACCGCTTCAGACATAGTGTCAGTGGTCGGAGCAGCCTTAATGAAAGCCTTACGTAGCTCTTCAAGCCGAGACCTTGAGAACAGCATTAACTTTGAAGTATCACGTACTGGACGTATTGAGGCACTAGTTGTATTTATTTCCCATTTGAATTGACGTCAATAAAATATTTATTGTAACGATGTCTATAAGTTCTCTAGTCTATACATTTCGTATCAAACTCCGTCTTTTTTTTTTTTTTTATTGTTCATTAATGCATTAAACAAGCGCAGCACTCTTGTAAAGCGATGGTATCCCCTTGATTACTACCCGTAAAATTGCGAACGTATTATGAAGGAACATTAAGACATTACGAGTCCGAAAATAGTGCACCTGCCCTGGTTCCCGCCCAGAAAAACTCGATGCGCCTTTGGCGACCTGAACCTACTAGCGGTACCGGTCACATAGCCATTTTTTGGTATGGTCGCGTTTAATAGTCCAACCATCGAATGTTTTGCTATTTACCATCTAGAATAGAATCGTCATTGTGTCAATGTATGACGCTTTTGTAATGCAGTATATTGTTGTTTAATCGGGCAAAGGGTGTGCACCCTTTATTTAGAGAATGCAATTCTGCTATCGGTAAATGCTATGTACAATATGAGCGAAACATGTTTTGTTTGCGTTTGTGTCTTTGTCTAATAACAAAATTGATAAAAAGGTTTCCAAGAACGCTACTTCCCATTCACAAGTAGACGCAAACCCATGCGATTGCCTGCTAAAAAGCCGACGTTTACCAGATGTCTCCAAGATAATCTTTTTTGAGGACCATAAAAATATACACTTCCCCTATATTGTAGACTGAATAAAGTGTCTGGCATACGATGACAGAAAAAAGAATAATTGCGCAAAAAACAAACCCGACCGTTTTCGGGTCCTGCGGACCTACCATTACTTTCCTAAAACGAAAGTTGACAATGCTATTGATTTATGATTACGTTAAGCAGCACAAAACTATTTGACGTTCACGTTTGTTAAACAAAATTCAAGCTTAGTTTGGCGCCATTAGCTATAAATCAGATGTAGAGAGATCCCGCTGAATTATCTGGGCGCCTTGACAGATCTGCCATATGAACTGTGTTTATACTGTGATATGGGTTTTTGAGAACTATGTAGCAGCGAGAATTATTTCTTCAAAATTTTTACAACAAGTGTATATGAAAAGCAATTAATCAGAGATGTGGTATAACTGCAAAGAAATACTAATAGCCAGTTAAATTAATCTTCACATGCCGTACTGCCATGTACACCGCACTATTTAAAGTTAGGCAAATAGATTACCGTATTTATCCGAAAATATCAGTCATCTCTCTTACTCATTGCCAGGGCATGTTGTTTCGAAATTATCGAAGTGACATCCCGATCAAGTGTTTTTTAAGTACGAATTTTAAAAACAATACATCCTTTTTAGGTAAATCACGATTATGAAGTAGATATGGGAAAAGTTTGTTGTGAATGAGATTAGTCTACCGATATCAGGAATTAAATATTAACAGATGAACATAATCTCGACCGAATGTCCAACAGTTGCGAAGCTTGCGGTTCTTTCCGTTTTAAACATGAGCAACAGAAGGGTACCTCCCGAAAACGATTACCACCACCGAGTCAAGCCTATGAAGATCACATGTGCCTGTTCTAAGCTTCTACGTCATTGCTATATGATGCCTATTCTTTGGAAGCACCCAACCGCTCCGGATGAAGGAGGAGGCACCCGCCACCGAATGATCGTTCTTGTATCTTTTAAATTTACTATGGTCGATGGGTCGTAATAATGAAATTTAGATTAAGCTCGAGTCAAACTTCTCATAACCCTTATATCTATACGAGACGTCTTCGTGATACATATTGCACGATACGACGTTTTTTTCTGTTTGTGTAGTATGTTGTGGTGTCAATTGTGTACTATGTATGGGTCGCTGACGGAACTTATGTCTATTTATGCCGATGCTTGGCAAACGAAGCTACCGCGTCGACATTACATAAACATTTTTTGGGGCAAACTGACAAACACAACGCATTTTTTGTAGTTCATTCATTGACGTATCGGGCTGTCGACCATACACCCTGAGGTTTCTTGCCAGTTGTTGCCAACAAACGGCGATGTCTTGTATTAGTCAATGTATATATGTATATATATAGATTACTGACAAAAATTAACACCCTAATAAGTACTCGTACCAAGGCTCTTAAAAGCAAAAAAAACTAATTCATGTAAGTGTCACGTCCGATGCCAATATCAGTCCAGTTTAACGATTAGTTACAGTTATCTACAGCACTAAAAATGCTAAGTAACTTCTGTTAACAAGTTATGGAACATGCTTTAAGCGCTCAAAAAAGGCGTGAATATTTTCTTTGTTGGCAGTTACCGCACCACTGCAACTTCATACTCCACTTCGAGTTAGGTTGAATTCTAATTGATCTTGCTTTGTGTAACTGCCCACATGACATTACGAGAAGCTGTGTGGAACGCTGAACAATCTGTAAAGGCGCTTTCGGCAGAGGGGCAAAGAACTACCGCTATGTTAGGAGGCCATTTTTTTTTTTCGAAATTAACTGCTTATTAGGTTCGACCATCCAAAGAATAACAACGAAACTTCTTTATCGTGATAAGTAAGTGCTTTACAAATGAATGGGTGCATCTATTGTTCGACGTGACGAGAAAAATCTACGTAATCGATGGAAGAGCAGGACGACCACGGCCGTTCTACGGCTGAATCAAGATTCGTATAATCGCATAAGATCGCTGCTACGTTTTCGTTGTTTGTCGTTCGACAATTAGATATCCACAGTACATGCGTTTGTCGTAAGCGAAGACAAGAAATTTCCTACAACCGGCTGCCGCTGTAGATGGAAAACCGCGTAATCATTGCGCAACTTCTGATAGTAGGAAAAATAAAATTGACTTCTCTCAGGATATTTTTGATAAACGGCTAATATTATTATTATTTCACCTGTTCTCTTTCACAGTTCAGCCATTGCCCAACGCCTAGAGTGGCAAATTATTTAGGATTCCACTTCGATCCAGCAAGGATCCTGAAATAAAACAATTAGCAAGTGTTTCATAATAAACAATTTCATATCCTGAGCAGGCATTATTGAGAAACATCTTTGAATTTGGCAAATTCCTGATATTAACCCACAGTGTCATACATGCTATTATAGATTAAGAGATAGTTGACATTTTACATGATTTCGAGAGAGATTTATCTTCAAGGTTGTATAATGTTAGTCGCATCAGCAGAACAAAA